ACAAAGGAAATGGGAAAGAGATGGAGAGGAGAGACGGAAGAGGCTCATGAAATTCAAAGGAGGAAGAAGGGGTTTTAAGAGAGAAACTGGTCAACAGTGTTCAAGAGAGTTCAAGAAGGACAGATTGTTGGGCTTGGCGATTAGGAGGCCACTCTGATCTTGGGGACAGCAGTTTCAGTGAGGGTGAGAAGTCTACCTTGCGATGGGAATAAGGAAGTGGAGGAAGCAGCAGGGACTCTTGTCAGGATACTGGCTATGAAGAGACGGAAAAAGAAGGTGTGCAGCCTAGAGAAGGATGCAGCACTGAAGAAGAATTTGTATTTATTATGATGGGAGAAGCTGGCACATAAAATAGCCTGTAGCAAAAGAAACGATCTAGAGGAAGAGACTGAAAATTCAGGAGAGAAGAGGGCTACCGGATGGAGCAAGTGCAATCCTGGAAAAGTCAGAGCCTGCTTTGGAGACTTAGCCTCAAACCCGGAGAGGAGGGTTAACGTGCAAGGGAGACGGTAGGAAGTGCAGGGAGTTCTTTAGGCCTGATAGCCTCATTGCTCTATGCAGTAAAAGCCAGACTGCCATTTGCTGGAAGGAGGAGCGATTTCCTGGGGTGCAGAGAGATCTTGGAAAGAATAATCAGATTGGAAATAGAAGAGGAAGCTGACTTAGATATTGATGGGTTTTATTGTGGTAAGCCTTTTGCAACTCATACAAATATTCAATCACTGTTTGTACACCAGAAACCAGTATAATGTTATATGTCAATTATATCTCAATTTTTTAAAAAAGCGAGAGTGACTAGAAGAAACCATGGACAGATGGCCCAGTGGCACTGTTAATCATGCATTTATAGTGGTACCAGTTCACATGGTGATGGCACTCACCCAGAAGCAGAGCATGGAAGGCTGATGGGTTAATCTGGTGGAATTTGTCAGGTGCTGGAAAGGGAACACACAAAGGCATTCCTCAGGGAGATGCTGAAATAGATACACAGGATCTGGGTAGGATAGGGGAGAAGATAAAATGTCCGGATCCGAGCTCAGAAGGGAGCCTGCTTGAGATTCTCTCTCCTTCGCGCCCTGCCCCTCCCCCCGTTCTCTCTCTCTCTAAAATAAATAGATCTTGAAAAAAAATAAAGTCTAAAAACAGCTAAAATTAAACTGCATTGCTTAGAGATGTAGACGAGTGGCTAAGCTTGGAAAACAAGGAAGGGATTGTCAGAAAAGTGAGGATGCTGGTGACCTCTGGGAGAATGGAGGTTATCTTCATCAGGGAGGACCCCTGGAGCATGTGGGGGCTGGCAATGTTCTGGCTCTCGATTGAGTTTCTGCTTTATAGTCACTCTTCACACTATACACATATGGTTTTGCATTTTTGTGTCGTGATTCCCAAAGAAAGAGAAACCCGCATGGAGTAATACCGTATTTAGGAGAGGGGCAGTGAGATCAGGGTCGAGTCCAGACACGACCGTGCTTGCAGCTCGGTGCTCCATGAGCCGGGAGCTGGGACACAGTGTCGTTTCTGTTGTCCATGACTGCTGACGTGTGCGGAGTCGAAATGAAAACTAAGACGGCAACACGGAGAAGACGGTGGGCGCTTCTGTTTGTTTTCATTTCCTTTTATTTACTCCATGAGGCGGGACCGGGCGCGCACATTCCGTGGCAATCAGTCCTCCGAGATCGCGTTCGGTGCGTCTCTCCGAGAGACACGGGGAAGAGCAGCGGTCGCTCGAGTCGGGCTTGCTGCTTGGTTTGCCCTCGGAGAAGTGACCCCGGGGGTCCTGCAGGCGCCCCCGCCTCTGCACGGGCCTCTGCTCCTCAACCCGTCCCTCCCGACGTCTCGTGGGGCCTCTCCCCGCGGCGCTCCTGTGACCGGGCCTGGAAGCCGCCGCACGGCCAGGTGGAAACGCCGCTGCCCGCCAACCGCCCTGCGGTGCGGGAAGGCGGCTCCGGACCTTCCCGCTCATTGTGCAGGCCCTCCCCCGGGCCGCGGCCCCTGGAGCCCCCCCGCGCACGCGGGAAGGACCGGGAAACCCCGTTCCCACGGGAAGCCCCGCAGCGCGGCGGAGCAAGAGCTGCAGCACAGTGCGAGCGCCTGGCAAGGGTGGTGGCCGCGGGCCTCCCTGCGTCCTGGTCCCCGGGGCCGCCATCTCACCGCTCCGCGCAGCCCTGCTTCCGGAGCCGGAGCCACCCCCCTGCCAGCCGTCGGTCCCGCGGCCTTCTCGGGCGGATTCCCGGGACGGAACTCGGTTTCTCCGCGTCCGCGCTCTCCCTTCCCTGGTTCCTGCCCGACTCACGCGGGACGTGCGGGGAGCCCAGGCTCGCCCCCGTGACCCCGTGCCCGAGCCGCGCTCCTCCCGCACCTCAGCGGCCGCCGCCCCCTCCCGCCTCACCTCCCCGTCCTCCGCGCTTCTCCCGCACCTCAGCTGCCTCCGCACCCGCCCACCTTACCCTCCGCGTCCTCCGCCTCCTCCCGCACCTCACACCTCATTGGCCTCCGCCCCTTGCAGCCGCACCCTCCGCGCCCTCTGCGCTCCTCCCGCACCTCCACCGCGGCGGCCTGCTCTGCCCGCCCCGGACTTCCCCAGCTCTCCGCGCCTCAGGGGGCCCAGGGCCAACAGCGCCGCCCACAGATCAACCACTGGGCCGCCGGCCCTGCCTGCTCTCCAGCGAGGAGGCGCCGACCCCGACGCGGGCACCACCCTCGGAGCCAACGAGGAGAGCCCGCGTAGACGCGGCGGCCGCGCGCGCACCCGCCCTGCGCGCCGGACGAGAGGGGCGGGTGGAGAGGGCGCGTCCGCTGGCCTGAAGACCAATCAGGGCAGGGCGGGCCCGCAGCCCGGCTCCCAGTGGCCACTCAGGAGTAGGCCGATGCGTTGCCTGCTCTCGGACTGGACGAGCTTCCTGCCAATCAGAGGGGGAGCAAGAGGCGCGTCGGCCAATAGCAGGAGGCTGCCGGGTCAGGCGGGTGGCCCCGCGGCGCGCGCGGTGGTCGGCGAGCCGCTCGGCGCTGAGGGAGTGGCCGCCCCCGGGCCCCCGCACCCTGCGCCCTCGGCCCCCCGGGCCCGCCCCTCGGCCGCGCCGCGTCATGCCCGGCGCTGCTCGGCGCTAGTGCCCGGGCCGCCGCCGCCCGCCCGCAGCCGCGCCCACTGTGCAGAGCCAGAGGGATGGTGGCAGTCACGGGGCGGGAGCCAGACAGCCGTCGCGCGGACGGTGCCATGTCCAGCTCCGACGCCGAGGACGACTTCGTGGAGCCGGCCACCCCGACGGCCACGCAGGCGGGGCACGCGCTGCCCCTGCTGCCTCAGGAGGTACCGGGAACGGGGCGTGGGAAGGGGCTCAGGGGAGAAGCCGGGGCCCCGCAGAGCTGACCGCGGGGCGTGAGCAGGGCTGCGGCTGGGTTCAGAGGCCGGGCCGAGGGCGGCGCCCGAGGAGCTGCGCCTGCCCCCCGCCCCCTTCAACGCACCCGGGGGGTGTCCCCCGGCCCAGCCCCCGCTCTCGGAATTCACGGACAGCGCCCCGCGGCCAGTCCTTAGAGGACGGGGGAGGGGCCGAGGGAGGGGGCCCGGGCGCCCCGAGAGGGGAGCGTCTTGTAGGAAAGCCAAGAGGCGGCCCTCGCGGTTGCCCAGACCTGCTGCCCCGCTGGCCCATGCAGGGACGCAGCCCGCGGATCGGCGTGGCCGCCAACACCTGCCGGCCGCGGGGCTTTCCTCCCCGCCCCCGTGCCGGGGGCTCCTCCTGGCTTCGTGTAGGAGCCTCCGGCGGGGAAGAGGGGAAGGTGGGGCCTCCCGGCCCGGCAGGACGAGACTAGGAGGAGCTGCGGCGACGCTGCGGGAGGGAGGCCGGGACGCGTGCAGTCCCGGGAGGAGGGACAGCTCCGGGGGGGTGGCCGGTCCCCTCGGGACTGGAAGCTACGCTCGCAGCATCCCGAAACGCCTGTGACCACGAGCCAAACCCTGCGGGCATCTTCGCAGCTGGGAAAGGAAAGGACCGCTGCGGGGTCATCTCGTGGGCACTGTCACCGGGAAGGCGGCGTGGTCTGCGAGCGGGAGCGCAGGACTCGCGCCAGGCCCGCTGCCCGCTGTGGGGTCCCGCACGCTGCTGGACCGTTTCCCTCTGCGCCCCAGTCTTCAGCTCTGCTATGGAGCGAACCCCCGGACTGGCAGGAGATGCCCTTGGAAGAGGTCCCGAGAGCTCCAGAAGTGTGGAGTCTCGTTATCCCGCGGCAGCTCGCGTCCTCGGCGGAGGAGCTGCGGAGCGCGTGACAGGATGACGGGGCACCCACACAAGAGCTGCACCCGCCTTTCTGTCCTGTTCCTTCATCATTCGTTCATTCAGGGCGTGTTTGGGTCCTCACTGCGCCCCGGACACCGTGTGGGGCCCCGGGTGACTTTGACGGAATGTGTTGGGGTCCTACTGTGTTTCACAAAGAATTTGAAAACATATTATTTCACTTATATGTGGAATCTACAAAACAAACGCGCAAACAAAGCATAAGTAGACTCATAAACACAGAGAACTAACCAGTGGTTACCAGAGGGGAGCGGGGGTGGAAGGATGGGCAGAGTGGCTGAAGGGGACTGGAAGGTGCTGGCTTCCAGGTATGAAATGAATACGTCACTGGGATGAAAGGCACAGAATAGGGAATATAGTCAATGATCCTGTAATAGTGGTATCTGGTGGCAGGTGGTAGCCGCACGTGTGGTGAGCATACCGCACGGTATAGACCTGCCAGATCACTGTGCCGTACACCCGAGTACTAACGCAACCTTGTGTGTCAGCTACACCTCAAAAAAGAGTGGGGGAAAAGATGGAACTGGAAAGCTGGGGGAAAGGACTCTGCAGACAAAGGTACATGGGAGCTGAGAGATGTTATAATACCGAAAAGTATGCACTAGTATAGAATTTTAGTTAAGCTGGAGGTTTGTGGGAAAATTAGAACTGGCTTCATTTCTTTAAAAACAACAAGCAGTGAAAGATATCCCCTCCCCCCTAACGGGTGCTGAACATTTTACCCAGAGCTGATCTGGGCCATTCTATACCGTCATGCCCTGTTCCTCCCCCTGCCCATGCCTCCGGAACCTGAGCTGGACCAGGCACTGATCTCGCTCTATGGTTTAAATAGGAGAGAAGCAGTGAGGTAAAGCGAATGGGGAGTGGATGTCTGGAATGATCCACGGCCATCTGGGAGCCCTGCTGTGGGTGGCCTCCTGATTAGTGAATGAGATGCTGCCCTCAGGAAGCTTGGGTTCTAGAAAGGAGGGCTGACAGGAGTACATAACTGCCAGCCTGCCCTGTGGCACGCCAGGCACTACAGAGAGGAGAGCGTGGCACATGGTGGAGGCACAGTGGAGGGTGACTCATTAATTAACTCGGTCTTGGGGGCAAGCGGGGAACAAAGAATGCTCACAGAATCGGGAACCTTAAAGAGAAGCTTCTAGAGTGAACAGATGCCGCTAACTTATATGGTGCCGTGGTGTGCATTAGACAAAGGGCACACAGCTGGGCTGGCAGATCACTGGGAGACAGGTCCCCTTGTGCAGTGAACAACAAATACCACATTCAGGGCAATTGCATTTGCTAGATGGACAGAGGGAGACTGGAAAGAACATTCCGGACAGAGAAGACAGCATAAGCAAGGACATAAAAATGGTAAATTCATTCTAGAGCAGAGATAGTAGAACTGGGGTGGGGAGCCCTGATTGAATGGTATTGGGGAACAGTGGGGTCGACTTGGCAACTGAGGAGTGTGGGGGAAGGGGGCGACAGAGGAGAGCATCCAGAAAGACTCCCGTATTTTAGCCTTGGGTACCTGAATGGTGCCGCACTAATGAGACCCAAGGAGATGCAGACAGAGCAGCCCCTGCTCTCATTCCCCAATGCCTGGCTGAAAGTGCCGGTGGTTCCTTTCCAGTTTCCTGAGGTTGTCCCACTTAACATTGGAGGGGCTCACTTCACCACACGCCTGTCTACACTGCGGCGCTATGAGGACACCATGCTGGCGGCCATGTTCAGCGGGCGGCATTACATCCCCACCGACGCCGAGGGCCGGTACTTCATTGACCGGGATGGCACGCACTTTGGGTATGTTTATCCCTCTGTGATCAGCTTTGTAGTCCTAGTAAGTGTCCTGGGCTTCAGTATGGGGCGTTAGTGTCTTCTACAGCACCTAGAAGAGGAGATAACAAATGTGCTGCTGGAATTTAATAAATGTGTTTGCTGAATGAGATAAAAAGGCAGTTACTTTCCCAGAGGAGATGAGGACAGCCAGAGAAATCCCAGGTGACACCCAGTGGCTGCATGTGGTGGAACTGCTTCTGTCCTGTGAAATTTAAGGCCAGAAAGTTGTCATCTGTGTGGAATAGATGTGATCCCACCAGGAGGCGGGGGAGTTCCAACACAGCTTCTTGGGGGAAATTCTCAGATTCAGATTCTGGGGCTCCACATTGCCATTAGGGAGGGACATGGTGTGTGACCATGGTCGTCAGACTTCCTTCAGTACTTTAAAACAAATGAAAAAAAAGGTGAGGGAAGGGCCAATATGTGATTGCCATCCTTTAATTTTGCCAAGAAAAGTCTTTACAAAAAAAAAAAAAAAAAACAAACACCTTTAATTGTGACTGTCATTTTAATACTAAAACATGGAAAGACACAATCTCAAAAAAGAAAATAGCCCTTCGCAAGAAAGGACTTCTGACACCTCACACATAAACAGTTTAAAGACTTTATGTTTTAGTTTCCTTATTTGTGAAATGAGAAATAATTGTGGCTGCCTCGTAGGCCTGCCATGCCGATTACATAATCTGTGACCTCTGGCCAGGTCCCTCCAGAGCATGTGGCGAAAGCTCTTTGGCCCTTCAGTCCAACTTTGGAATGACTAGAGAACGAACATGGTTCTCGACCTTCAACAGATTGACTAGGGAGGCAGAAACTCTCCAGCCACTACATCTTTGTGCTGGCCTCTGATTCGGATTGCCCGCCCTGGGAGAAGGGTCATTTTTACCCTCAGAAAGGAGCCTCTGGTCAGACAATTTACTTTGAACCATCTGGGTGTCCCCATTGGGCTGTCAGCTGCCTCCGATGCTGAGGAAACAAAGTGTCACATCGCTCTGCAGAGCTATAAAAAGATTTTTGTTTGCAGGCTGTTTGGGGGAGGAAAGTGCTGGCCCCAGCTGGCAGCTCCCACAGTACTCTTAGCTGGGCCTTGCCCCGGGGTTATGTTTTTCAGAGCAGGCCAAGGTTTGCTTAAGATCCTAGAGCGCTAATTTGGAAAAGGGTTGTGGGGAGGGGGAGCAGGGTTTGGCTCTAGGTTGATGTGCCTGTGCCCAGGTGGCCTAAGCTGGAGAGGGTCAGAGGCGGAAAGCAGGATGTTGTAGATTCATCCTCGGGCTGCGGACTCCGTGGCCTCTGACTCATCATCAGCAGAGGAAGTTGCCTAAAGACTCAGATAAAATAGTACAGGTGCTTAAGGCATTTGGTCAGGTACATTTCTCTGCTGGTGTGGTTCCTGTGCTCCCAGAACCCACCATGAAGACTGCTTGATGAGTGAAACACTTGGGACTGGAGTCTGACCACTGTGGGTATGGGCTTGGAGTCAAGCAGGTCTGCATTTGGGCTCCTGCTAGCTGTGGCTCCTTGAGTAAGAGTGTTCTTTAACTTCTCGGAGCCCCTCTTTTTCCTCATTTATTAAGTGGACCCAAAATGGCACTTACTCCACAATGTCCTTGAAGTGATTCAATGGGATAACACATGGAGAATGACTGACACAGATCAGGACTTAGTTAGTGTTAGCTGGTATTACATCATGGTCATAGACTACTACTGAGGCAACATCTTGATCTTGGGGTTTACTCACACATCTTTACAGAAAAGACTTGCCCACACCTACCAGTGAAGGATCTGATTACTCTTAGCACTTAAAGAATCTGAAGATAGAATTAAAAGAACTGAATTTTTATTTTAAGAAAATGCAGTATGTGATTTTATTCACCCAAGAACCAGTTTGTTCAGGTGTTGGGGGTAGTCATTTGATGTCTTTGTAGCTACAGAATAAGACTAATGGCGAGGATGTACAGAAGATGGGGAACCCTTGTACATTGCTGGTGAAAATGTAAAACGCTACAACCATTTTGTTAAGCATGCACTTCACCTTACGAGCGAACAGTTCTACTCCTAATACATTCCCAGGAGAAGTTGATACGTGTGTCCTCAGGAAGTCTTATACAGGAATGTTCATAACAGCTTTACTCATAAGAGCCCCAAACTGGGAACAACGCAACTGTCCATCAACAAGAAAATTGGTAAATAAACGACAGGCTGTCCATTCAGTGCCGGGCCACCTCATTTGTCACACACGACGTATGGAATGAATCTCAGAAGCATTCTGTTGAAGGAGAGAAGATAAGCATAGAAGAGAACGTACTGTGTGCTTCTGCTTATATGAACGTCAAGATGAGGCAAAAGTAGTCTTTGTTGATAGAAGAATTTTGGGCTTGAATGGGAAGAAGCAGAGGAAAACTTTAAGGAGATGGAAATGTTCTGTATCTTGGTGTAGGTGGTGGTCGTAATCAAACTGTATACCTTGATTGCATATTAACTATACCTCAATTTAAATATCTAGATTAAGGAACCCAGAAATCACATCTTTCCATTATTCCTATGTATACCCAATAATAACAACACCTAATAAAAATAAAAAATATACCTAATAGTAATTTTAATAGTAATGACGCTGATAATAAGAGCTGCTAATGCATACTGAGGGCTTACCCAGTGCCAGGTATTTTCCAAGCACTTTTTATCTATAAACTCACTGAATCCCTTGATCCCATTATGGGGTAGTTTTTTTTTTTTTTACAATTTTCCCTCATTTTACAGATGAGAAAATCAAGGCACGGAGAGGTTAGGTTCACTTACCCAAGATTACGCAGCTGGTAGTCTGGTTCCAGATTCTGTGCTCTAACTACCATGTGTCACTGCCCAGGTGCATTAGCTCCTTCTCAGCACCTCTCTTTCCTTCCTGCTCAGAGATGTGCTGAATTTTCTGCGCTCAGGCGACCTGCCACCCCGGGAGCGTGTACGGGCTGTGTACAAAGAGGCCCAGTACTATGCCATCGGTCCCCTCCTGGAGCAGCTAGAGAACATGCAGCCTCTGAAGGGGGAGAAAGTGCGCCAGGCATTTCTGGGACTCATGCCCTATTACAAAGGTGAGGGGTCAACTGCCCAGGGTGGTCAAGGTGTGGGAAAGGAGGGTTGAAGGCATCTGTCTGGGCCTAGGTCTTCACCAGAAGAAGTGGGTCTGAGATTCATCTGCATTGCTCAAGGTTGGAGAGATTCCTGCTTCCCTTTCTGCCCTCCCCTCCCAGTCACACTGGGACAATTCAGGTTAAATAGGACCCACTTTGCCTATGACATCATCAAATCCCATTTCAAAAGGATTGTCCTCATTCCATCATTTTGGTTTCCCTTTGCCATGGTGATCCATGATCCCTGTTTAAGTCTGCATCCTTCATGAGCCCAAAGAGTCCCTTCCCCAGGATCTCTCTCCCCTGTTGGATCCTGCCTTCACTGGGGCTCTCTCTGTGTGCCCTGACCCTGCCTTTCCCACGCCCCAACCTCTTGACCCTTGTCCCAGTGATGGTGCCGTCTTCACCCCCACAGACCATTTGGAGCGGATTGTGGAGATTGCCCGGCTGCGTGCGGTACAGCGGAAGGCCCGCTTTGCCAAGCTCAAGGTCTGTGTCTTCAAGGAGGAGATGCCCATCACCCCCTACGAGTGTCCGCTTCTCAACTCCCTGCGCTTCGAGCGGAGCGAGAGCGATGGGCAGCTCTTTGAGCACCATTGCGAGGTGGATGTGTCTTTTGGGCCCTGGGAGGCTGTGGCTGATGTTTATGACCTACTGCACTGCCTGGTCACGGACCTCTCAGCCCAGGGCCTCGTCGTGGACCACCAGTGCATCGGGGTGTGTGACAAGCACCTCATCAACCACTACTACTGCAAGCGTCCCATCTATGAGTTCAAGATCACGTGGTGGTGAGTAGCCCTGCTAGGGACAGAGGCCTGTCAGGGAGGGCGTCTGTTCTCTTTAGTGGCTCTGGGAGTAGGATCCTGAGAGGGACACTAACTGCCCCAGACCCGCTGAGGTGAGGACCAAGTCCTGAGGCACAGCTGCAAGGGGATGGAGGTCTCCTGGCAGCTCCAGTCTCCCAGCTGTACCTTGAGGTCAGGCTCAGGGCTTGTGCCTCAGGGCACGGCAGTCTTTTCCTGAGGCTGATGGGGTCTGGCAAGCTAGGGCTGGACCAGGAAGTCCAGAGAGGTTTTGTCACTCTCCTGGTCTTGCAAGAGAGTTTCTGCCCTTTTTAGTGCCACGTTACCAGACTAATACAGGCATGATCCCTTCCTCAGCCCTGTTCAAGGGCCCCTTGCGTGCGCCTAGCACACAGGTATGAACACAGATTGCGATGGGGGTTACCCAAGGACCTACCCCACAGCCCCTGACTGAAGGAGAAGCATTTTCTCTCCCTCTTCCCCCAGGGATAGTTCCAGGCTTTGTTTTAGGATGTGGAGAGACTCTTCCTCCTGAAACATACTCTTCACCACCTTTTGGAGATGTAACCATAGTTGCCAAAGCCGTGCACCAGGTTGGCCTTAGAAGAGCACAATGTTTACAGCCCTGCCTTAGGGCCGCAGCTTCTCCTACCTTCCACCAACCTTTCTTGCTTGAAGGGTTATCTTCTCAGGGCTGTAATATAGACTTCAGAGGTTCCTTTCGAAGATTCCCTGAGTCAAGCAGGCAGGTTGCCTAGATCTTCTGTTATCTTTGAGATGTAACATCCTTTCTGGAGGCTCAGAATATCTCTTTGGCTGCCATTTCATGTGTTAGCATCCAATTTGTGGTGAACCTCTGTAGATAGGAACCCCCTCTTTTTTAAACCCTGCTGCTTTACCCTGCTCACGTTCTCCTAGGAGAAGTGTCTGTTCTGAGGAAGCAAACAAAGGCTTGGGTGGGAGGCACAGCTATACCAGGAGCTGTAGGACAGTCGTAGCAAACCTCCATCACGCTGTACTCTCCACATCTCAGACAGAGAAAAAGATCCACAGGGTCCTGCTCCCACTGCATTTTCTTCTTGCTCGGTCTTCAGACCAGGGCAGTTAAGCAGGCTGTGGACACGCGTCTCCTGAAAGAAGAGCTGCGCGGCACCAGCAGTGGGAACGTAACATTCCTGTGCTGCATTAAGGGCTTCTCCCTGTGATCATGACTTGTGCTTGACGGTCCTGGGTATTTGTTAGGGAGATTTTTTTATATGTAAAACACGGGTAAGGACAGCCTCATTGGTCTCAGTCCTACAAGACCAGATTGATGAGGTAGGGGGAGGGGGAGCTGAAGATGTCTGCATCCTTCTGAGGAAGAGAAGGCCAAGTCCTGGGACCTCGCTGAACCCCTCAGTGGGGCAGTGATCTCCTGGCCCTCTGTGGAACGGGTTGCGGGGCGCAGTTTTGCACTCCCACGTCATGTGGTGGAACAGAGGTCCACACGGTGTTCTAAGAGGAAGGTAAAGTCAGTTGTTGAGGTTCTGAGATATGTGTTCTCTCCGTTGTTCTCATCCACAAATGAATCATCACTGTTCTGGAGTTGTTGTCCCTGCTTAAAGCTTACTCCAACAACATGGCTCTTGTCTTGTTCTAATAGAAGTCCTTCACTGAATTTGCTCCGATCGGTGTTACTGCCTAATGCAAACTCATTTTTGGACAGACACTGAGGCAAACTCTTCGGGAGAAAGCTGGTATGAGTAGAAAGGAGACAATTAATCCCAGTGCTTTCGGTTATCTAGCCTTGGCTCCTTCTCGTTCCCACCGCTGGCACAGGGCATCACAGTATTTTGGTTAGAGTCCAAACATGGAAGACAGAGTGACTGGTAGGCTCAAATGTAAGTTTGCTCAAAGATAGGCCCTGAATACTAGCTTAGGGCTACAGGAATGCTGGATGAGGACACTGTCCCCAGGCCCCTTGCTAGAGACACTCCTTTGGACCATCTGGCCCTGTGTTGTCCTCACAGTGGTATACTCTGTGCCATTGTGGGAGAGACAAGGCTCTGGGCCAGTAGACCAGGCAGAGCAGGGATACTGGCAGCCAGCTTCGAGCTCTTTTCAAATGAAGTAAAAGAATTCAGTGGCCCAGTTTGGCCCTTCTCTGATGAGAAGCCAAGGCCAAGATGAAAAGTGCTTTTGGATGTGGTGGTTTGTGATAATGGCCTCCAGATAAAGGTCGTATCTGAGGAAGTGACTTTTCCCAGTTGGATCCCTTCTCAAGTCTAAATGGTCAGGTCTAGAGCATAAGAAAGGTTGGGTTAGGAAGGAGGGCTCCGAAGGGTGAATGCTTGTTCCCAATCCAAGGGAGTATGTTTTCATAGAATTCTTGTGCATAATATTGATGGGTTAAACCAAGTGCCTGCCTTTGGAGCTTCCGTTATGTTTGGCTTTGGGCGCCTTTCTCCCCGGTGTCGTGCTCGCTGGCTGGGAAGGTGAAAGTTTTAGGGGATAGGGTTGTATGGTACAATAGCAGCCATGACAAAATTCCGCAAAAATGAAAAACTTAATGGCAACAAATAAGATCGAAACAAAACCACAATGAAACATGACAGCACGCCAGATTGGAGGAGCTCTTTGGGTAACTCTCTAAATAGAAGAGATAGACGAATCGCCAGCATCCTTACTCTATCTCTGGGGTAACTCACGAGGCTGTCTATTGCCCATCCTGTGCAGAGAGTCAACTGTGCTCTGAAAGTTTCTGTTCTTTCTTCCTGGGGCTTAGGGTGTTCTGGGAGCTGTTGGAGCCTTGTGCCTCAGGCTGGTCAGGTGACACAGCTTTCCTGCTCTGGGTTGCTTGTTGGGGAACTAGAAGAATGACATTTGCAAGCCACAAAGTGGGGTGAGCCTCAATGTGCAACCTTGGTCCAAACTGGATCCTGAAGAGGTTAAGACGAATGACAGCAGCAACAGAACAAAACTGCTTCACTGAGCATTTTGATCCCAGTTAGAATTTTACCTCTACCTGGGATCTGTCCGTATTTGATTCCAAGTGATTAAGCTTTCTTAGGTACCTTTCACTGGGGCTCGTTCATGAAGGCAGTGCCTGCCTTGTGATCCTTGAAAGGGGGAGGCTTTATTCATCAGAAGCCGGAGCGTGGGGACATGGGGTGAAAGAGGCACTTTATGGAATTCTGGAAGAAACATATATGTACACGTATGTTAACTGGGAGATGGGTGGGTTGGCAGGGTTGAGGAGGCGGGAACAAAGACTGGGTCTAGGAACCGGTCGCCTCTGGAACATGGGAGGTCACCTGGGCCCACTGTCTTCCTTCTGTGTGGTGGTGGGTTTGTGTACATGGTATAACACCTCCTGTGTTCAATTGCTGCCTGTCTGTAAGCGCTTTGGTGCATGGAGCCCCAGGACCCTCACATGGCATTAAAGTGAAGAATTAGAACCTGGGTGCTGTGCCTTTCTTTTTTAGGGACTTATTCTCATCTCTGCTCTGCCCCCACAGTGCTAGCAAACAATGTCTTGATTTCTCCTTGCAATGTGGTGTGTTTTGGGACGCTCAACGACATAAACTAGGCTCTTTTCCTGAGGTCGGCAGCCGAACTTCTGCCCTGGCTTGAAGTAAAAGGGACGTGGGCCCTGTGAAGGCCGTTCTGCAGTTACTCTAGCCTTGTCTCTGTTCCAGGTAGGAGTGTGCCCACCCAGTCTAGGCACAGAGCTCTCCCCTCTCGTGTTGAGAGGTCTCCAGGGGAAGAAGATACCACAGGTGAACAGTCACTGTGTAGCTCCCAACCACGTCAGGTGGTTCCGAAAGGAATCCCTTCTGTCATTCACCACTTCTTTCAAGGGAGAGAGAAATGGCTCTAAGCTTATGTGGGCCTCAGTGGTTAAGACCGGTCCTTGAGGAAAATGGACTTGAGTTGTTCTTCCTCTGGAAGCAGAGTTTGACACCTTCCTGGCTAATGAGTGTCCTCATCAAGATATCCCTTGGAGTCACTCCATGGATTAACCCAGAAAGGTGAGTCCTGACGTGCTGGGTAGCTATGCCGCCCTCCAACTGCGTCCTTAAATCTCCGATTATTCTGACTGTTAAAGCACTGCATCACCTGTGCCAAGTATGTCCCTGACCTACTTACTTTGCACACAATCACACAGTAACAATACGCCAGTAATACTCAACGAGTGGGAAACTGAAGCTCACGGAGCTGTAATTTCCTCAAGGGCACGCGGCTAGTAAGTAGAAGTCAGGATTCTGAGGGCCCTTTTCCGAAATCCTCACAGGTATTCAGTGGGGCCCTCCCTTCTTGGCAGCTCAGTGTCCCACCTCTCAGGCTTAGGGCTTCACCTTGCTCACCCTGTGAAAATTTGACAGGCAGATGCTCTAGAAGCAATATTAGAAAGACTTTCTTTATGTGTAGGTTTTAAGTAATCCCAGAGCATTAAGGAGGCAGCTTGGGTCTCCAGTGTACTACCCTTCTGAGTGAGGGACACATGTTTACTAGGTGGAGAAGGACCCTGCTCGTGGGCAGTGATGGAGGCGAGTAATGGTCGCCCCCTGGCCCTTGGTGTGGTGAGATGATCTGGGACGGCTGAGTTAGACTCCTGCCGCCTGCGGGCCTAGCCACACAGATGTGCAGCCTGGCCACGTGGGGAAGGATGCCCCTGGCCTCAGGAGAAGAACTGAATGTAAGACTTTTTCGTTTAGCTTAGGGCGTCTTGTGTGCCTGGCTTGGGTTTTTTGGCCCTTAGGCTCTGGGCCTGTTTGTTCCTTTGTCGTCATTTTGGAGATGACCTCGTGGCTAGCTTCACTAACTTTTCCTTTTGATCTGTTTCACTTACAGCATGTTTCTTTCACTTTTGTTTACTTATCTTTAACTTCCTATCTTTTGATTCCTTACCATTTTGTTTTTCCTGTCATGTGTTTTAGTGTTCTCCATTTTTTAAAAACATAATTTTAAACTTTATATCTAACATAACTTTAAAATAAAGCCCCTATATGAATAGGATGCTAATGAAGATAGTTCTTGTTCTGAGCAAGGGTAATTATATGCCTTTTTTTCCCTCCTCCAGTCATTTCTACAATGATCTTGTTAGCTGTGAACATTAGGTATCTCATTTTTCCCTTAGATGAATATCTTCTTCTGAAGTCTAAATGCAAGGAAAAACTGACAGTTACTACAAAAGCCATAGATCTGGGTTATCTATTACATCCGATGGCAGAGCTCTTCCCTCCCCCTCCAGAATGCCACCCTCCCCCATATACACACAGTAACAGTAAGTTCAGACTTAGGAACAAGGCAGTCCCAGTCCTGACTGCTGAGGACTTCCTCCTTCACACACTTGTTCTTCCTGAGCAGTGACATGATCTAAATATCCTGGGATTCCACCACCTCCAACCACCTGGAACTCAATGGAAACAGGACTGTCGTGCACCAGGAAGAAGTCCGACTCAACTGCAGGGAAGACTTTGAATAGTCTTGAACCATCCAGAAGTACTTCATAGAAGGGACCCGTAATCAGATTGTGATGTACCTTTTCTGCCCTTCTGTGATCTCAATGACAACCTGAATCACCCTTCCACAAACCATGACTTTTAGAAGATTCTCCTAATGTATTACAGACCCTGGGTTTTTTCCTGTGTCATGTGATCGTGGCAGGTGGCCTAGCTCCAGTAGATCTTTTGAATAGATGGATACATACTTCTCCTTTATGATGGAAAAATTAAGAAATAGAAACCCAAAACACCACAAAACTTAGAGCTTGATCTCCATTAAAAGAAATTAATCAGTTAAGAGTTGGAATTGAAATCCTTATACCTCTATTATGTTTGTAAGTGGGTTGGATGGTATAATCAGGTTTAAGTCCAGAGAACATGTAGCACCTTCTGTAAGTGCCGTTATTAGTGTGTTTATTAGTGTGAGTTCCAGCATTACATCCTTGCCTTCAGCTCTGCCTCAGCTTACACTGCCCTGAGGACCCATCTGTCTATGCACCCATCTGTTGTGGGTGCCTACTGTCCCCACTCTCCCTGTGTCATCACCACCCCCCACCCCCACCACTCATGACAGCCCTGTCTTTGGCATTTTAAAGCTGGTTTGCCACTTCTGGCCGTACCTCATCCAGCATTTGGTAGCCAGCCCTGGCGGCGGTGCTCCATCCAGCAGTGTCCCCCGCTGCTTCTTAGGCAGGTAGGTGCTCTTTGCACCAAGGTCCCAGATTTTCCGATTCAGCTTTCTCACCTGGCCTGCTAGGATTTGAAGAGCATTTTCAGCCCTTCTCTCTAAGCTCCGTGTCTACCGTGACCGCTTCCGCAATGGCAGCAGAGGATTCTTGCAAGGCCCCACCAAACAGATAAGTTAGCCTCACCCTCCTCTACCCTTGGAAGGGATAATCAACATACTTTTCCCAGAAACTGCATTCACCAAGAGCTTCCTAACAAAAATAGGGACTTCCCTGGTCAGCTGACCACATCACTATTGGCCGAAATGAGGATGACCTTATTCACTTGGCACTCCCAGAAAGTCAAGGCAGCATGTATCTGCCTCCAGACATATTCAGGAAATGTTCTACCCAACTGCCTGATTGTATACTTCCAAATACAGCTCTGTCTGGAAATTCCCGCTGGTTCAAAGAGGTAGGATGTTGAGGAATACCATCTATAGTCACCTGCCAGAATGTTCCACCACTTACACTGGCTGGGCCTTTAGCCCGGAGGATTCCACAGACATGGGATTTACTGTCTGGTTTTGAACCCTGTCGGAGCTGTTCTGCTGGGATGGCAATCCTGACTCCTTGACGGCAGCAGCAGCCCTGGGATAACCTGCAATTGTGGACTGAGATCCAGATGTAGGATTTCCAGAAGGTTCAACCAAGGTATCCTCATGATAATGTATGAGAAAGTGATGTTTCTTAGGTGGAAGGTTCTCCAGATGCTCAACTACCCCACAGTTTGGGGGTTTATAGGCAGTAGCCATTCGGTCATGCTCCTCCACTTCCTCACATGACCATCCTGCCTTTTTAGGATGGGGTTTGAGCTGACCCCTTGCTCAGGGCCCAGAATTCCACAGTAGCTGAAAACCCTGTACATCTTTTCTCCTATCACGGTCTTACGCAACCCAGAAGCATTTCAGTGCCCTGGCAGGGATCACAAGGAGGCACGAGCACGGGCAGCCTCTGTCCCTTGTTTCCGCATGTCCACGATACTGGCATTGGCAGGCCGACAACCCTTGTAGGTGTGAGTTGCAATAAAACCAACAGATTCAAGGTCTAGAGGCGGCACTGAAGAAGCCCTTCAGGGATGTCTGTCTGCAGGAGCCTGGAGTACTCAAGGTGAAACTGGGAGCTTGTTCCACATAGTGGAGGCAGGATGTGTTTTTCAAACATTTTGGCTTCAGAAGATACTGCAAACATGCACAAGAGCCTGAGAAGGAGGCCAGCTATCCCACGTGCCTTTATATCTCACGCATTCAAAATGGAAAAGAACAGACTTCTTGGGACCTTCTGACGCAGCAGTATGTGCTGCTTCCTTCTTCGGTGAGTGTTCCTGAATTGCACTGAGTCATTTGTATTAGTCAAGACAAAACAAAAAAGTAGTAATTGAACAATTTCTATCTTTAATATGTTAACTTAATCGTAGTTGCATTGTAATAATAAGGGACTGGCTCACAAACAGTAGTGATAACTAGAGAGAATGTGGGAAGACCACATAGAGGAAGCGCCACCCAGGACTGAGATAGAGGATCCAAGGAAGAACAGCCCCTTCCCCAGAGCTGATATCAGACCTTTTTGGAGAGGGCAGAGCCATGGTTTACTGAATGGCAGGGAAGTCATCGGGTGCTATACTTGGTGGAACTTGCTAGAAATCCTTCCTCTAGCATGCTGGGAAAATCTCTTTAGGGAGGTGTTTTATCAGAGGCACTCCACTACAAAGCTACCCAAGGTGAGTGCTGGGGAAAGCTGCTGGCCTCTTTGTGCTGCTGGCGAACATGCACTGCAGGAGCTGCGTGCTGGAGAAGCTGTGCTGGGGCAATCACACCAGAACCAGAAAGGGAAGTACCTTTCTTCTTGGCAGGGTGTCCCCGATATCCTCTGCTAACGAAGTTTAATATCCTGTTAATTGGCAAAGGAAAAAATATTCAAAGGTCCCAACCCAATTCTGCAGAGCCAATGAAGGATGAATATGGAGCTAAGAGGCAATCAATAACTGGCATATCTTTTTTTAAAAGATTTTATTTATGTGAGAGAGCGCACGGTGGGAGGAGCAGAGGGAGGAGAAGCAGGCTTCTCACCAACCAGGGAGCCCGATGCGGGACTCAATCCCAGGACTCTGGGACCATGACCTTACCTGAAGGCAGACGCTGAAGTGACTAAGCCACCCAGGTGCCCCAATAACTGGCATTACTGTATGCTGGTGACTCGCAAATTTATACTCCTGCCCAGGCCTCTTTCCTCAGCCTTGAATTGTATGCCCAGTAACCTGATAAATACTGCTACTTCAGTGTCGGTTAGCCATCTCAAGCCTCATATATCCAAATGGAATTCTTCATTTCCTCTTCCACCTCCAATATCCTTATTCTATCTTTTCTATCTCAGGAAATGCCACCACCATTAATCCAGTCAACAAAAACCTGAGAATCATCTTTAACACTCCTCCTTACCTCACCTTCTAATGCAATCCATCGCCAAGTCTTGAATATATCTTCAGGATGGATCTTGAAAACATCAAAAATTCACCTGTCTGAATCACCATTGTCTCTCACTCTGTGTTACTACAAGGGCTTCTTCGCTTAATTTAGCCCCTGATTACCCCACCAATCTATTCTCCAAAATAGTCTTGAAGGGTATGATTAGATCCTACAGCATGCTCACTTAAAACCCTTCACTTTTACAATGGGATTGTAAGGTCCTACCGTGTTTGATCTGGATCCTATGCACCCCAGCCTCCTCTCACCATCCTGCTCCTTGTTTCCCATCTCTGCTCTGGCCTTTTTTTCACTTCCTGCCTCAGGTTTTTGTGATTGTCATTCCCTCTCCCAGGAATGCCCTTCCCCCAACCCTTCTCATGGGCTGGCTCACTTTCCTATTTTATGTTCCAATGTCACATAACAGCTCAAATGTCACATAATGGGACCTCTGATCATGCCATCTAAAGCACACTTTCATTACTATCTATCACGTCACCTGATTTATTTCCTTTATCACATTTATTACCAATAGTAATTATCTTGTTTGTTATGTCTGTATTTCCTTTTAAATAAGCTCTCTGAAGGCAGAGATGTTGCCTCTGTTGTGCACGACATTTACAGCCCTATGCAGCCCCATGACCCCAAGATCACAACCTGAGCCAAAACCAAGAGTCGGGAGGCTCAACCGACTGAGCCACCAAGGTGCCCTGGAAAGTTCTTAATTACAGTAAAATGTCAGCTAATAAATATAAAGGAAAGGATGGGGTTTGGAAAAATCTACATTTAGCAATGGTCAAATTTATAACTGACTTAGATAAGAATCATCAATGGATTCTAAAACTGATGAGCTGAAGAAAAACAGGACCTAACATAGTCTCAAAGTGGTTCCCTACAAATAACTAATTACAAAGGTAAAAATAGTAACTTTACAGTGTAGACATCTGAAAGATTCCTCATGAGTCATGTAACCAAAGTCAACATTAGCCAAAAGGCCTGTCCTGAGAAAGACACATTATTTATATGATTTCTCTGCCAAAATGAATAACCTGAATCTAATCATGAGAAGACATTAGACAAACCCAAATTGAAGGACATTCTTTAGATTGACCATCTTCCACTTTTCAAAAATTTCAAGAACTTGAAAGACAATTTATAAAAATGGAAGAACTATTCCAGATTAAAGGAGACTAAAGAGACATGACAATTAAATGATCCTGGGTTAGATTTGGGACCAGGGAAAGCAATAGCTATAAAGGCCATTCTTGGGAAAATTGATGAAAACTGAGTAAGGGGTGTAGATTAAGCAGTAGGATTTTATCAATGTTAATTTCCTTTTTTTAAATGATTCTGCTTTGGTTTTCTAAGAGGGTATCTTTCGTCTATGGCTGTACCACCCTGAATGCACCTGATCTCATCTCATCTAAGAGGGTGTCTTTGTTTTTAGGAAATACACACTGAAATATACAGAAGCCAAGAAGCATGATTCTGCAATTTAGTTGCATTCTTCAGGAAAACTGTGTGTGTATGTGTGTGCCTGTGTGTGTGTGTGTGTGTAGGGAGAGATTGAACAAATGATAAAGCAAATGGGGCAAATATACAAATTCAAGAAGCTTAAAAAACTCCAAGTGAGATAAATTCAAAGAGATCCACACCAAGAAACATAATCAAACTGTAGAAAGCCAAAGAAAAAAGAATCCTGAAAGCAGCAAGAGAGAACAAATTCATCACATAAAAGGGATCCTAAAAAGAATACAAACGGTTTCTTACCAGGAACTGTGGAGGCTAGAAGGCAGTGGGTTGACATATTTGAAGAGTTGAAAGAAAAACCTGTCAACTAAGAATTCTGTATCTGGGGGTGCCTGGGTGGTACAGTCAGTTAAGCATCCAGGTCTTGGTTTTGACTCAGGTCGTGATCTCAGGATTGTGAGACTGAGCTCCTCATTGGGCTCCGTCCTCAGCATGGAGTCTGCTTGAGATTCTCACTCCCTCTCCATCGGCCCCTCCTTCTCTCTCTAAAATAAATTACTTTTAAAAATAAATTAATTAATTTAAAAAAAGACTGTATCTGGCAAAACTCCTCTTCAAGAATGAAGGAGAAATTAAGACATCCCCAGATAAACAAAAGCTAAGGGAATTTGCTACTGGTGGACCTGCACTGTAAGAAATGCCCAAAGGAATCCTTCAGATTGAAAAGCAAATGACACTAGACAGTAAACTGAAGCTAAATGAAGAAATAAAGAACACTGGGAAAGGTAAATACCTAGGTAAATGTAAAAGCCAGTGTTGGGGTGCTTGGGTGGCTTAGTCAGTTGAGCATCTGACTTCAGCTCAGATCATGATCTCAAGCTCCTGGGGTCCAGCTCTGCATCAGGCTCCCTGCTCAGCAGGGAGTCTGCCTTCCCTCTCCCCTTTCCTCTGCTCATCCTCTCTTTCTCTCAAATGAATAAATAAAATCTTTAAAATAAATAAAACAATTAATTTTATTTTTTTTAAAGATTTTATTTATTTATTTATTTGAGAGAGAGAGATCACAAGTAGGCAGAGAGGCAGGCAGAGAGAGAGGAAGGGAAGCAGGCTCCCTGCTGAGCAGAGAGCCCGACGCGGGACTCGATCCCAGGACCCTGAGATCATGACCTGAGCCGAAGGCAGCGGCTTAACCCACTGAGCCACCCAGGCGCCCTTATTTTATTTTTTAATCCAAGAGAGAGCACAAGCACAAGCAGAGGGAGAAGCAGGCTCCCTCTGCTTGTGCAAGTTAGCAATGTGGGACTCAATTCCAGGACATTAGGATCATGACCTGAGCTGAGGGCAGCTGCTTAACCAGCTGAGCCACCCGGGTGTCCCTAAATAAAAACTTTTTTTAAAAAGACTTTCCCTATATGATTTAAAAGGCACAAACATAAGTCATTAATTGTAAACCTGTGTTAACAGGCATACAATTTTTAAAGCTGAAATCTGTGACAGTAACAAGATAAGGGGACAGAGATGTATATGTACAGAATATAAGCAATTTTAAATAAGTTGGTATTCAAACTATGTTGTTATAAGTTTAAGATGCAAATTACAGTCACAAAGCTAACCACTAAGAAAATGAATTTTAAATACAGAAATGAGAATCAAAATGGTAGGCTACAGAAAAACAAGTGCATATCAAAAATGCAGTAATGAAAGAATTGAGGAATAAAAAAAATATGCCACATAGAGAACAACTAGCAAAATGGCAGAAGTCATTCTTTATTAGTCATTACTTTAACTGTAAATGGATGAAACTCTCCAATTAAAAGTCAGAGACTTGCGGAGTATGTTCTCTTAAAAGCTCCATCTATATGCTGTCCAAAAGCGTTTCACTTTAGATTCAAAGACACAAAGAGGTTGAAAGTAAAAGGATGGAAAAACATATTCCATGCAATTATTAGAGTAAATTTTACATTAGAAAAAGGGTTATAAGAAACAAGAAGGACATTATATACAGAAAAAAAGTTTAATCCAACAAGATGATACAACAATTATAAGCATATATGCATCTGAATCAGAGCACCAAGTACATATGAAACAAGGAGAAATTGAGGGAGAAATTGACAATTTTACAATAATAGTCGGAGACTTCATTATCCCACTTTTAATAATGGATAGAACAACCAGAGGAAAGATCAAGAAGGAAAGAGAGTACTTGAATGATGGTATAATCCAAGTATACCTAGCAGACATACATATAGAACTCTTCACCTAACAATAATGGAACACACATTCTTCTCAAATGCACACAGAACACTGTCCAGAGTAAGACATATTTTAGGCCAGAAAACAAGTTTTTTTTTTTTAATTAAAAATTTTCAGCTTTATTGAGATATAATTGACATATAACATCATGTAAGTTTAAGGTGTACAATGTGTTGATTTGATATGCTTCTATACTGCAAATGTTTCCATCAGTAGCGTTAGCCAACCTGTATCATATCACATAATCACCACAGAAAATGAATTTTAATAAATTCTAAAAAATCATAAAAATGTCTTTTCTTTTCTTTATTTATTTATTTATTTATTTGACAGACAGAGGCCACAAGTAGGCAGAGAGGCAGGCAGAGAGAGAGAGAGAGGGAAGCAGGCTCCCCGCTGAGCAGAGAGCCCGACGCGGGGCTCGATCCCAGGACCCTGGGATCATGACCTGAGCCGAAGGCAGAGGCTTTAACCCACTGAGCCACCCAGGCGCCCCTAAAAATGTCTTTTCTAATTACAGTGTAACAAAACTAGAAATCAGTAACAGAAGGAAAACTCACAATAATTGAAAAAATTTTTTAAATGCTCTTAAATAACCAGAAGTCAAAGAAGAAATCATAAAGGAAATTAGAAAGTATTTTGAGACAAATGAAAATAAAAGCACAACATACAAAACATAGTGAATGTACTGAAAGCAGTGCTTAAGTGAAATTTCTACCTGCAAACATCTGTAGTTAAGAAATCTCAAATCAGTAACCTAACTAAACCTTAAAAATTTTTTTAAGTAGGTTCCGCACCCAATGTGGGGATAGAACTCATGACCCTGAGATCAAGAGTCTCATGCTTCACCTACTGAGCCAGCCAGGTGCCCCCATACACCTTAAAGGAACTAAAAAAGAAGAAGCACAAACTGAGCCAAAGTTAGCAAAGAGTAGGAAATAAACATTAAGAGTGGAGAAAAGTGAAATAATAGGATAAAAAGAGAATATAGAAAACAAAACCAACTTTTTTTTTAAAAATCAGCAAAACTGGGGCTCCTTGATGGCTTGGTTGGTTACGCATCTGGCTTTGGCTCAGGCTCTGCTCCACGACAGGCTCCCTGCTCAGCAGGGAGTCTGCATCTCCATCTCCCTCTGACCCTGATTCCTGCTGGGGCTTTCTCTCTCACTCTCTGAAATAAACAAATAAATTCTTAAAAAACAGCAGCAACAACAGCAATCAGCCAGATTGACAAATATTTAGCTAGAATGTCAGAGAAAGAAGACTCAAATTGCTAAAATCAGAAATTAAAGAGGGGACATTACTACTAACTTTACATAAAAAGGATGATAAGAAAATACTATGAACATACATACACCAACAAATTAACCAAAGGAAATGGACTAATTATTAGAAATAGAAAACCTACCAAGTCTGAATCACCAAGAAATGGAGAATCCAGATAGATCTATAACTAGTGACAAGGTTGAAACAGTAATCAAAACCCTCCAATGAAGAAAAGCCTTGGACTGGATGGTTTTGCTGGAGAAGTCTACAAAACATTTAAAGAACTAATACCAATCCTTCTCAAACTTTCCCAAAAAACTTAAAGTGCAGGGAATGCTTTCTAACTCACTAATTCATTTGTTGCCCCAATACTGAGCCAGACAAAGACACTATAGGAAAAAACAAAAATGAAAACAAAAACTACAGATCAACATCCCCTATGAATATTGATACAAAAATTCTCAACAAAATATTAACTGAATTCCACAGCATATCAAAGGGATTATATATTGTGGCCAAGTGGGATATAGTCCTAGAATACAAAGATGGTCTAAAGAGAATTAAGGGTGAAAAAATTACCTTATCTTCTCAATTGAGAGAGAAAAATCTTGTGACACAATGCATGATAAAACACTCAACAGACTAGGAATGGAGTGAAACTGACTCAGTATAAGAAAGCCACATATGAAAACCCACAGCTAACATTCTATTCAACGGTATAAGAAAGTGTTGCCACTGAGATCAAGAATAAGACAAAGATGCTCATCCCCCCCCCATTCTATTCAGCATTGTGTTGGAAGTTCTAGCCAGAGTAACTAGTCAAGAAAAAGAAGTTAAGAGCATCCAGGTTAGAAAGGAAAAAGTAATTTCTGCTCAAAGAAGTGATTTTGTATGTAGAAAACCCTAAGATTCTACAGAAAAAAAACTGTTAGAATAAATAAATTGAGCAATGTAGTAATACAAAATCAACACACAGAAATCAGTCACCCCTCTATATACTAACAATAAGCAACCTAAAAGAAATTAAGAAAACAATTCCATTTATAATAGCCTCAAAAGGAATAAAATACTTATTAATTTAATCAACGAGGTAAAAGATTTGTACAATGAAAACTTTAAAACCTTGCAGAAAACAAAGATGACAAGGAAATGGAAAGAAATCTCATGTAAATTGGGTTGGTTGTTGTTGAGTTTTAAGAGTAACAGTCCCTTATCAGATAAGTCATTTGCAAATATTTTCTTCTGTGAGTTACCTTTGTATTCTGTTGACTGTGCCCTTTGGTGCACAAAAATTTTAAATTTTGATAAGTCCAGTTTTTGTTTTTTCCTTTTATTACCTGTGCTTTTGGTGTTGCATAAGAATCTACTGTCAAATACAATGTCATGAGGCTTTTCAGCTGTCTTTTCTTCTAAATTGTATATCTTACATTTAGGTCTTTAATCCAGTTTGAGTTAATTTTTGTATATGGTGTTAGGTAAGGGTCCAAATTCATTCTTCTGTTAATTTTATGTCACTATATTTTACAATAAACAGTTAAGTTTTAAAAACTATCATACCCTTTCATGAGTAAAAAAACAGCCTGTAAACTAAGAATAGCAGGGAACGCCCTCAACATGATAAAGGCCATATACGAAAAACCCAGAGGTAACATCATACTCAATGGTGAGTGAACATTTTCCCAAGATCAGGAACAAGACAAGGATGCCTGCTTTTTTCCACTTTTATTAATACATTTTCATTTCTCTTGGGTAGAGTCATCTTATCTGACCTTTCTATGCAATCTGACTCTTCCCATCAATCCTTTTGCTTTGTCTTTCCTCTTCCACATTATTCCTCTCCTATGTCTTCCTCTTCTATTTTTTTCTTCCCACTCTCCTTTTCCTGGCTCTTTTTCTTTTGAACCAAGATGAATCTTTGATTCTTGAATCTTTTGATTCCAAAATGAGTTTTTAGCCCTTTTTTATCCTCACTTTTTCCAATGGGACTGATTTTTATAAATTCATATGCAAAAGGGGCACCTGGTGGCTCGCTCAGTTAAGCGTCTAACTCTTCATTTCATGTCAGGTCAGGATCTCAGCCTTGTGAGATCAAGCCCTGAGTTGGGCTTAAGATTTTCCCTCCCTCCCTCAGTCCCTCCCTCCCTCCCTCAATCAATAAATAAATATCAAAAGAAATTCACATGCAAAAGTCGCACAAATTGAAATAAAAAAATACAGTGAATATCCATATACATATCAAGAGATAAAACACTAAATTCAAGAGCTAAAACATCGCTTCCTCAGTTAAATAGAACCTTGGGGCCCCCCTCCAGTAGCCTCCCACCCCGCCGTCTCCGAGAGAGAAGCAAACCGGGTAGCTTGTCCCACTCACGTCCTACCCACCAGCGCCCTCACTCTGGCTCCCTCCCACGCTGACCGAGGGGTTGTCCCGGCACTCACTGTGTCCGTTACTTTTGATCCCTTCTCCTGCCTCCCCCTCAGTTCACTCCGCTGCGCTGCACGGCGGGGAGGCGTGGAGGGCGCTCCCGCACCCGTCCCGGCACCGAGCACCTTGCCCAGGTCCTTGCGCACCCGCGCGACGAGCTCCCTGGCCCTTCGCTCGAATCACTTTCCCGGCCGGGGCTCTCCCCTCCGCGGCCGCAGACGCTCGCTCCGCACGCTCCCCTCCCCGCGTCATCTCCATCTCCTGCGCTCCCGGGAGCTCGTTCCCCGGCCCCCCGCCTCCCCTGCGGAAGGTCCGACACCCCGGGTCCTCGCTGGGCACAGGGGACACGCGGGGAGGGTTCGTGGCTGGGAAGTAACCGACCAACGAGGGACACACAAACCGGAGTCCACGGACGCCTGCGGCTCACGCGCACCCAGACCCGGGCGCCGGCGGGCAGCACCGACGTCCGACAGACGAGGGGACGGCGAGGGCCGCGGCCGCGGGGCGGCGGCGGGGCCACTTCTGGGGCGTGACCGGGAAAGAGAAGAAAACGCGCTCGAAGCGAAGCTGGCGTGCGGCCACCGGGAGCGGGGTGCGGGCGTCCTCGGCGGCGCAAACCGGAGACCCCTCTGCCGGGAACACGCCCTCCGCCCCCGACCGGTCCCCTCCGAAGGCGCCGGCTCGCTCCCAGCGCCGCCCCCTCACCCACCTTCCACCACAAGCCCGCGTCTGCGGGGGCCGCGCTCCGCCCGCGTTCGGGGACAACCGGGAGCTAGTCCGCCTGGGGTCCGCAGGGGACGACCGGGCGCCTGTCCGAGGCCACCGGGGCAGCTAGAAGCGAAGCCGGTCTGTGATGCCACACTCCGTCCCCTCCGTTGGGCCGCGACCCGCAGACGGCGTCCAGCAGGCCGAGGCGGCCGCAGGGCCCGAAGCTCCAGACCCGGGGCCTCGGCAACCGGACGCCCCGGACGGCGCGGCCTCCCAGCGACCGGGTCCGCGGGCCTCGGCGCTGCTACGCCGTCAGGACGGCCTCCGGCCCAGCCGACCTCCCTCCGGGCCGGGACCTCGGAAACCAGGAGTCCCGGCACCGAGAGGGTCAGGGTTACGGTTTCCCACGCGGCCTCGCTCCCCGCGGGTCGGCGACCCGGCGACCGCTGCTGGCGCGGCGGCGGCTGTGCGGGGTCTCGGCGGCGTACGGCTCCCGAGCACGCGGCGGCGTCGTCTAGGGCCGGCGGGCGTCGCGGCAGGCGGGCACGGGGACGGAGCGCCCGCTCCTCCGCCAGCCCCGACCGCCTGCCTCGACACCGCCCCCGCGCCCGACTGGGCACCACGGGCACCGCCTCTGCCTCGCTCCGCCCAGCGCGGGCCCAGAGCGGCGCCGCGACGACTTCCTCCTTCCGCAGGCCGGGACCGGAAGTGACGTCGTGCGTGCGTGACGGGCGCTCGCGGCGCCGGGGGCGGGGCGCGAGGGAGGGAGGGCCGGCCGGAGGGCGGGTCGCGGACTGGCGGAGCGGGGACCCCTCGAGCGAGGCGCGGAGGGCGGCGGTCCCGACGCCGTGGAGCCGCAGCGCAGGTATGGGGCGCTGGGACGCCGGCGGGGGCTGCGCGGCTGTCGGCTGCGGGCGGCGCGGCGCGGCGGGGCGGGGGCGCCGTCTGGGCGGGGGCTGCTGGGTCATCCGCCCGTGCCGCCTCCCCGGCCGGGGCCGTTTCGCTCCGGCGCGTCCAGCCGCCGTCGGGCCAGCCCTGGGCGCCGCGGCGCGGCCCTCACCGGCCGTCTCAAGCCTGTGGTGCCCAGCCGGGCGTTCCGGGCGCTCGCGCCGCCTGCTGCGGGCCCGGCCGCGCCCCGACGTACACGCGTCTGCCGTTCTCGGCGCCCGCCCCGCGCGACGGCGCGTTCTCTCTCTCCAGCGCGGAGGCTGCGGGGACCCTGCGGGCTCGGGCCCGGGGCCGCTCGGGGGCCCAGCCGCGTGGCCGGCGCAGACCGGGTCGCAGCCCCGCCGGGCCGGGACGCCGGGGCTTCCGACCGCGCGTGGGTGCTGGGGGCGGAGAGGTCCGGGGGCGGGGGGGGCGTGCGGGCTTTCCCGGTGCCGGGCCTCGAACTCCTGTCCGGACCTCGCCGGCGGCCGGGGGCGGGGGGCCTGGGGCGGGCGGGGAAGCCCCTGCTAGCGAGCTGTCTCGGAGGACCGCGGGGTGATGCCGTCGCGGAAGTTCGGGCGGGCGGGGGGGGGGGCGCTTAGAGGGTCACGGACGGCCGCGTCGGCCTGGGTCCTGCGTTCGTCCTGCCCTGAGGTGAACGCGGAAGCCGCCGCGCATGTCGCGGCCTCACGGCGCTGGGGTGGAGGGCGGCGGCTCGGGTGCTCGGGTTTGCGGGTCGGGGCTGTGGGTCTGGAAACCGCGTCTGGCGGTTCCCCGCGACCCCCGGGCTGCGTGTAAAGTCTGTGAGCTGGAAACTCGCACCGAGGAAGCTGCGGGGCGGGGGGCCGGGCCAGGCGGTGGTGCGCGGCGGAAGCTTGGCGGAGGTCGCGGTCTCTGCGCGAACGGCCGGACGGGGTCGGGGTTGGAGGGGTCACTCGCCTTCCGAACGGGATGCGGGTCAGGGACAGTGAAGGTCCTTCCGCGCCACGTCCGGACCGAGCGGAGACGGAGCCCCGGGGCCGACCGCAGGTCCGGAGGGTGGGGGTCCCGGGGAGACGAGCGGGGGTGGGGGGACGCGGGGCCGGGGCGAGTCGGCGGTGCCTGCAGAGGACTGGGTGGCGGTGGACGCGCCCTCGGGAGGCACGCGGTGGCTCACCGTCACCCCCTGATGAGTAACTTACGTGTTGTTTGGCACTCGGGAGAAGCTCCTGAGACGCTTCGGGAAAAAGCTGGACTTCGTGGTGCTGCTTGCGAGTTAGATGGTGAAGCTCCTGTGTCTGATGAAGCTCCTTGGGGCAGAAGCCGTGATTCTTACTGTGCGGTAGAGCAGTTTCCGTGTTTCTGGTGGCTTACGTGTGTGTGGTCACCAGGGGTGAAGAGCTGTCATTGTGATCGTGACTCGGACGGATGCGCAGTTAAAGGTGGCGAGTTAGCAGCAGAGTGTGAGTTCAGGAATGGGTGAGACGGTGCACACTGAGATTCTTAAGCTTTATTTTCCTCGGATGACGTCGGGGAGACTGCTGGAATCCCTGAAGCAGGAACGTAGCAAGAGCCTTTGGGTCTCTCAATTCTGTGTTGCTTCACCTTAAGGTGCGGCTGGCGGCCTCCTGTACCCCAGGCGCAGGCAGCTCAGGAGATGGTCAGCAAGCTCATAACCGTTTTTTGAAGCTAGTCTCTTCAGTTCCCAAGCAGAATAAATAACCATAATTGCGTTTCTGGTGATTTGGCCTGTATTTTCAAATTAAAAATGACTTTTGGGGGATTTTTACATGGGATATATTTGTAATTTTCGGGTGCTCCAGAGTGAAAAATACATAATGAAACTTTTATTTTTGTAGTTCCTGTTGTTAGAGTTTCCTAGTTTTAGACACAATATTTGCAAAAGCACTTTCTTTTTTTCTTTTGTACTACAAAAAAGGTCATGCGTTTACAAGTTGAACTCGTAAAGTGCTCATTAACAGAAGAAAATACCTTACTGTTACAATGTTTTTTAAGTGGAGCGGGTCATCTACTTAGGTCACGTCTTCTTCCAGAAAGCTTTGGTAGTGGCTTACAGAGATACAGCATGTTATTGAGAACATACAGAAGTAAGGGGGTGATGAACTTCGCACCGAGGGAGAAAAACGAAGATGCAAACACATCTGTAAGATCCTCATTAAGGTGGACGGGGACCTGTACACAAAGCACTTAGACCGGGTTAAGCACTTGTTAGAGGGCCTCAAGTTTGACTGCTTTTTAGCAGCCAGTTCAGAGAGAAGCATAATCAGTCGCACAGTTCATTGACCATAAGTTAAAAGGCCAATTTCTCTTTTGGATTCTGAGACTCCTTGTACTGACAGACTCCTCAGCTACATCTTTAAGGGCATAACAGCATTTCAGAGGACTGTGTTGTGCTTTACTTTGTTTTTTAGTTAGAAGTCTTTGTTGCCTCGTTGTGTAGGTTGATGACAGAACATCAGAACGTAATTCAGCGAAAGCAGTTCTGGGGCTGGCGAGATAATGTGATCTAAGTACTTAGATTTCTACACTAATTTAATTTAAGCGTCTGTTTTAGACTATCTGGATAAGTCAGTGGGGATCGTACGTTCTTCCGGTCACCTTCCATAAGCACGTTCTCAGTGGAGCTTTCTGGGACAGACTTAGAGCAGTGGGGTTAGGGTCTTGCTTCCTGACAAGTTCCTCGAGTACCTCTGTATGTTGTTCTTGTATATGATTTCACCACAGAGCCATGTTTTTGGCAGGCGTGCTTTATTTTCATCAGCGTTATGAATGTGGAAGCGTCTGACGAGGATGAATGCTTGAATGAAAGTCACCTCACCTCCACATAGAGATGGGCTTAGGGAATACCCAGCCATTTCTAGAAGGAGGTTCAGGCTGTTCGCTGGGGCATAGAGAACGTTGGCTTGAAAAGTCCAGGCCTATAATTTATTTTTCTAATATGAACAGATCCATTCATCTTAGATGGAGTGTCTAGAAAATTAATATATTTGTATTTTGCTCGAGCTAAAAAACTGCCTGTTTAAGTAACAATAGTTCGGATTTATCAGATTTATCCGTGGTAGCACAGGCCAGGCACTGTGTGAGTAGGAAGTCCTTCAGTTGTGTGATCTCAGTGTTGTTCTCTCCCTTCTCCCTCCCTGAAGACACAGAGAAACGAGGCTCCGCGCAGGAGTTTGTTTCAGGCCGTACAAGAGGTGGTGGAGACCTGAGCTCCGGCAGGCTGACTGAGCCAGCGGCCGGCACTTAGCCATGGCTTTGTGGTACCTGCCGCGGACCAGACTGTGAACTCCCAAGGGGAGAGCAGACACACACAGTTAATAGAGTGAGCACGTGGCAAGTGCTGGAACCCACTATTACAAAAGGGCCTTGAACAGTTTGGGATCTTTCTATCCAGACAATGGTTGGGGAGCTGCAACTTTTAAGGCATTTGGTCATAGTCTGTAAAGCTGGGGGGGGGGTCTTCTAAGCATTCATCAGGATTGGCAAAGTGGGGATATTTTTTCATGTGTTTGCACCTAAAATACATATATTTTTTCTTTCTGTTGGCTCTGAATTTGTCTTGACATCAGGAAAGCCACCATAATATTTATAAAAATAGTGCACCATTCTAGAAAAAGAGGTTGATATTCATATTTTATTTTTTTAAGATTTTATTTATTTATTTGACAAAGATCACAAGGAGGCAGAGAGGCAGACAGAGTGAGAGGGGGAAGCAGGCTCCCTGCTGAGCAGAGCCCAATGCCGGTCTTTATCCCAGGACCCTGAGATCACGACCTGAGCCAAAGGCAGAGGCTTAACCCACTGAGCCATCCAGGAGCCAAATATTCACACCTTAGAGTAAACTTTAGCTGATGATTTCACTGCTCTGTGTGTGTGTGTGTGTGTGTGTGTGTGTGTGTGTGTTTTAATATTTTATTATTTATTTGACCGAGAGAGAGCACACACAGGGGAAGCAGCAGCCAAAGGAGAGGGAGAAGCTGATTCCCCATTGAGCAGGGAACCTGATGCAGGGCTCAATCCCAGGACCCTGCGATCATGACCTGAGCCCAAGGCAGACATGTAATTGACTGAGTCACCCAGGTGCCCCAACACTACTGTGATATGGGATGAATTTAGGTTATGCTTTTGTTGTAATGCCATTGCAAGGTGTATGTGTTCTTAACTGTCATTCCGTTTCATTAGGAAGTGTATTGCACGAAAGTTGTACAGTTAAGTAAACCATTATTTTTTTTAAAGATTTTATTTATTTGTTTGACACATAGAGAAATCACAAGTAGGCAGAGAGGCAGGGGGGTGGGGGCGGGAAGCAGGCTCCCCGCTGAGCAGAGAGCGGGATGCGGGACTCAATCCCAGGACCCTGCGATCATGACCTGAGCCGAAGGGAGAGAGAGGCTTAACCCACTGAGCCACCCAGGCGCCTGAGTAAACCATTAGTTATTGTGCATTTTCATATGCAGCTATTTCAGGTAATTCCAGATTATTTTTTTGAAGTATTCTAATACAGTTCCTTTGGTATATTGTAAATTATGACCTAGCTTATGAAACTGCAGAATCAAGAACATCCTTATTCATCTTTAGTCAGTAAACAAGAGGTGGAAGTGTTGTTGCCTAAATGTAGTTATGTAACTTAGTGGTTCCTTAATTGCATTTCCATAGAGCTTTTGACATTGTTTTTTAAACATGTTCCTGAAAAATGACTTGGGCTAGTGACCACAGTTTTGAATAGGATATTACAAGAAGAATGCAAATAAAAAAAAAATGTGAAAACAAAAAACAGAATTGTATGCTGATGAGATAAAATGTCTAAAATCCATTGTAATTAGTGTCTCAGGAAGCAATATGTTTGGCTTCTACTTAGCCAAGTTGAGTTACATCTTTATTTGTATAAATTAAGTAGCCACTGCTATTGTAGTGTGGTAAGTGTAGGGTTTTTTTGTCTAGGCTTTCAAATGTTGTACAGTCATGGGCGGACACATCTTAAGTATCATTTACGAGGATTAATCAGATGGCAAAGTGCGTTCATACCCATATGCTAAAACTGCTCCATATTTAAGTTCTTTGAATAGCAACTGTATGTAAACACTGGTTTCTTCCAAGAGCCTGCTTTTGTTCTTGGACGTACTTGGGAACAAATTGCAGACACTTTTTGTCATTGTTGTTACCCACAAGGGGGTATAGGCTATTTATTTCAAGAAGAACTTTCCCATCCCTGCGTAGACCATCAAAAAAAAAAAAGAGGAGGAGAAATAAGAACTTTTGCTTTCTTAGTACGTAGGGCTAGTAATTGAATAAGTAAATTAGAAAATAAAAATCTCAACTTATTTCTTATTTTGTTTAAAGTAGTGCTTGAGAAATAAGCTAAGATTCTTTGACGTTTAAAGTTCTTAGATTCTAACAGAAAAACTGATCAGGAGGTTGGATTTTAGGCCCAGCCAGTTCCAGCCCCAAACACAACCACTAAGGGTTACGATGGTGAGTCTGCCATTTATGTAAGTGCAAAGATGTCGGTTTCATTCTTCAGTCAAAGCTTG